AAGATAAAAGAGGGATATGTGGATCAAAAAGAAGTTGTCCACCAATTCATCATCCTAGACACATGGGGAACACATGTTGCCGGAGAAGCAAAGGCGATAGAAGAAGAAAGAAGAGGTCCACACATACAAGAGTTTATCATAGGCAGTGTCTCATTCAGGCCAACTATTTTGAAAGAGATATGAGGAACAACAAGAAAGTGACATGAAAAAAAGAGAAAAAGGGGACCATGAGGTTAAGGAAGAGAAAGAAAGACAACAACGTAAGCACCCTCTTACTAGTTGAAGAGAATAAGGGTGTCTCGAGATTGTGACATGACTTGTTGTGGTGGTTGTGACTTGTGAACTATGACATCTCACATCCTCATGCAACTTGGATGTGAGAAAAAGAGAGATAAAAACAAAAGTCAATTTCTGTCTAGCTAGTACTTGTTTAAAAAAAACATTTTCGAATAAGATTTTCACACATGAAATTAGTACATTTACTTATTGTAGAAACCTTACATTAGTTAGAGAAAGAGATAATATGTATTGGATGCACATTTCGATGACAAAGGTGAATACTATGCCTCCTTAGACTAGTACAAGACTTCTAGTCATACTATGCCTCATTTGTTTTCTCATTTGGTTGCACCTAATATAGATCTAAATCTTAATAATTCAGATTCGTTTTTATTAAGCGAGTTTGATTGTATGTCTGAATCTTAATCATTCATATTCATCCCATTAAGATGAAGCCTACTCATTAGACTAGTACAAGACTTCTAGTCATACTAAATTATACTTTATTTAATTTGTTTGGCAAGAGTCAAACTAACTAATGATTATTGTGAATTCAGACACGGAATCTTCAATCTTCTTTTAAAATAAAATTTAAATATTTAAATGTAAACGTAAAAAGTATTATTAGTCATAATAGTTAACAAAGCAAATTATTTAGGAAGTACTTAATAAAATTATAAATCAAAGAAAATATCATTTGATTGTCCAAATGGTAATACATTAAAGCTCCAAAAATGTCCCTAAATAATAAGAAAATGTCTAAAAATATCCTTCATTCATTTTTTGACGAAAATTATCCTTCTACTTATCTTTTTCATCTAAAAATACTATTCATTCACTTTTTGGCTCACTATAGCTCTTGAAACTAACAACTCTCTTTTTATTCTTTATTTTTTGAAATATTTATGTTATGTGTCATTTTCTGATTGGATGAAATAGAAACTCCATCACTACTAAAAACAGATCAAATTTATCCAAGTTACGTTCTTTGTTAGTTTTTAATTATTGATTATTGTATATATAAAGTTTTGTTTTTATAGATTTATGTTAAATTTTGATAATTGAAAATTTGTTAAATTGATACTTTAACCGACTGTTACGATCCAAAGTGAGTTGTCAGTGGCACCCGCACTTATCCACCAGGTGGGCGAACCAACATATCTAAACCCCAACATTTACAATTGTTCAACTATAATTAATATAAATCATGTGGAAGCTCCAAAACTTATTAAGTAACCAATTTAAATAAGTTTCTAAAGTTTAATACTTATTATCCCAAAATTTGATAGTCATAACCTCAAGGAAATCTATTTTTAAATTACCAAGTCTAAGAGTGTTTAAGAAACCAAAATAAGCAAAAAGATGGTCCATGTCCAAAATTCAAAGTCATCAAGACGTGAATGAGAAAATCCAGTATGAGCTAGAATTAATAGCTCACCCCGAACTTTGATGTGCTGGAGACTGGCTAGAGTTGAGGGCGAGTCGAAATCGATGGTACACTTGCTGCACTCCACAAAAAACAAAGAAGAAAATACAAGCAGGGGTCGGTACAATGAACACGTACTGAGTAGGTATCATCGGCCAACTCAAAATAGAAACCAATATATATTGAATAATAATATAAAATCAACTACAATACTTAACAGGTGGCAAGCAACAAACACATGAACCGATGACAACAACACCGTATTAGGTATACCATCAATCATAACATCAAGCACACCTATGAGGACTTATGCCTCCACACCCTACTCATTGGAAAATGAGTTCTTTGAGATTGAGTATATTAAGTTAATTCAAGATTCGTTTCCTTTAATGTTATTGTGTCGGCATGTAACACTCTTATCCCATATATTGTGTCGGAACGTGACACTCCGATCCAATAATACCGTGTCAGAATGTGACACTCTGATCCAATAATACCATGTCGGAACGTGACACTCCGATTCAATTATCTCATTATTTTATTTCATCAAGTATTCTTTAATCAAGACGTCATTTTAATAGAGAGGTTTCAAGATTAGAGATTCAACAGCCTCATAATTTTAGGCCAACCACAAACCACACAATCAAGTATTAGGAGACTTTACTATATCACTCAATACATATCAATCGCTATTTAGAGTTTATTTATCAAATAGAAATAAATCATAACCTAACTCCACCGAAGAATCGAAGTCAAGCAACTACTTCTCCAATGCCCTTCCTTTCCTTATTGCCTCCGAATGTTTCCAATCTATCAAGTATATACATATGTATAACTTGTAAGTTAACGAATCTATAAAACACTCAATTTACTCTATATTCAGCCTAGATCCAAAAACTCATCTAATTATATAATCAATTTTCTAAAGTTCAAACCTAAAGATAAGTCTAAATTCCCCCATTTAACATAACTTTAATGAAATTTAAATAATTTGATACATCTAATATTTAATTACCTATTTTCATATATTAAAATATATATTTTTAATACAAAAACAAAATATTAATACTAATGTCTGAAAGTCACTAGTCACAAAACCAGTGGCTACGGACTGACAACAACCCAACTATAGCACCTGCGAAATATAGCACATGCATGCATTAAATATACAGAACTTAATGCATCCAATTCCCTCTACCGTAACACATAATTTCCTTGGTTATTAATTATTATCATTACATATGTCTATTTTTAATTTGTTTCCTATTAAATTATATATATATATATATATATATATATCCCATATACCCACCTATGTTAACAATAATAATTTTGATAACAAGAACTATTCGGTATCGGAAATCATCAGTTTCTAAGGCCAGTAGCATACCACGTATTGCATTTTAAAACTAGTCTATTTCTTTCTCAATTTCACCTAAAACTCCAGCAAATCACTAAAGTAAATGTATCTCCAAGGTTAACATATACACTAATAATAATGATATAATATAATTATAATAATAGTAAATTATCAAAATTAAAGACAATGCCAATACTTCTAATCAATAGTACCAATTCTAATGTGGAGGAAATCTTCTCACATATATATAATATATTATATATGATACCTTTTATAATTGCTATAACACCACATTCTTCCTAACTTTTGTATCCAAAATTTTCAAATAGCAATTAATACATCAACACGTATAACCATTCAAGCTAAACATAATTTAATAATATTAGTATTACTAGAAGAATTGGAGGATGATTTAACCTGAAGGCAACAGTTTTGAATTCACTTCTTGTTCCACGCTGTCCTCTCGTTTCTCCTCTTCCCCTCTATTCTTTTCTTCTACATATTATTTATTAACCTAACTATAATATGACTAATTATAAAGGTGTAAAAGTGGCCTAATATTGATTTTAATGTTATTTCCTTTAACCGCTAACTATATAAATTATCAAATCCACCCCACTAATTTCATAATTATAATTATGAATAGTTCAAAACATCCATTTACAATCTATCGGAAAGTATTTTATCAAAGAAAAAGTTTTAGTGCTCAAACCGACTAAATGGGTTGTTACACCGACAACCATCACTTAAGAGCTAGAGTGATGCTACAACGTTTTGTCTCACACTGACATGTCCTTCCTACACCTTACCATCGATATAGGACCTGAATTGCCTGATAGATCCACCAGTCTATACTAAAAGCACTAAAGGAATCATCTAAAAGGTATGATCTTTTTCTACCTATGGTGGGCTACACGGTTTATGGGGGCTGGGAGTTATCTGAACTCTCCCCCATATCGGTGCTCAATACTACTCTCAGAAATATCATTATATTAGTTTATGTTTTTAAAACATACTTAATCCTGTGATTTGAAATTAGTGCTTAAAACTTAGCTCAAAGTCAATCTTGAAAATCTCAGTTTCCCTGCTTTTTAAATGTGAAAACATTTTTACACTTTCTTGAGAATACTTAGTATCCATATACTGCTATGAAGAAAATAATTTTCCTTACTCTTAACTTAACTTAAACTTAAGTCTTAAACGACATTAAAATGTTTTTGAAAGACTTATGAAACTTGAAATGAATTTCTTCTTGTTATGTGTATTGTAACACTCGAAAGTCTATGACTTGGTATAGAGCCTCATTAGATAAAATAAGACTCAAAACACTATTTCTAAACCTACAATAGTTTATTTAAACTAATTAGAAAGTGTTAGAGTCAAAACGTCAAGAAACATCTATGACGTGCGGATACTAGTGAAATTGAGGTTAGTGTGCCTTGGCATGTTTCATGGGGTTTTAAGAGTCGGTATTTAATGAAAATTGGTAGATAGGTGTTAAACAAGTATTAGAGTGTTTTTAGGGTTGAAAACGTCCAGTATGACTCCCCAAGGACCACCCTAAGGGTCCTTGGAGAGGACTTTCCCAATTGACCCAAAACTGTAAAATTGACAGTAGCCGAACGACGAGCCAATCGACGAGCCGTCGATGGGTAAACGGCCCGTAGATGGTGGTCGTTGGACAACACTTATATATATCCAAAAAATGGTCTAAAAACATGGTCTATGATCCAGTCGATGCTTGCCCCAGTACAGGTCGTCGATGGACTTACGGACTGTAGGGTCAGGGGTTGTTTTAACTGTTCAAATTTTTAATAAGTAACTTAATTATTTAGTCAATTAGGTGGTTAATTAAGGGTTAGGGTGTGTTTAATTTAGTTAGTTAAGGGACTATATAACACCTAACCCCCATTAAACTAACCCAACACCCCGCAATTCCCAAACTTGCATCTCTCTAACTTCTTTCTAGTTTCCCTCTCCCCAAACATCAACCTCAATTAGAGCCTCAAGTCTAGGGAGAATTCACCAAGGATTTCATCTCAAATTCATGGAAAAATCATCACTCAGGTATGGCTTCTTTTACTCTTGGAATTCCTTTCCCCAAGAGGTCCTTTCAAAGATGATTTTCAACTTCCCCAAAACTAGATTTTCAATCTAGACATGTGTTCCCTTTTCAAAACGAAATTGTTAATCGATTATGATAAATTATAGTATTTTATCATTGTTTAACTAAGTATTAATGATAAATTATTGTTAATCACTCAATTTTGCCCCTTTGAACCCATGTTCTTCTGCACACTCATTATGCCTTGAAATTATATGAAAAATGTGGAAGATGAATGAATATATGAATATGTAGAATAGTAATTGTTATTTATTAATTCTTGAATTTACCTATTTTATGCTTTGGTTATGTATTCTTTGGTAATTGAAGTATGAAGGCAAAGATAGGGCAATAAGGTATGAAGATTGATTCTGCTTGAATTCAATTGTGAAGTATAATTTACTTAGGTAATGCTTCTATGTCTAATGTGTGGTTGTGATGTTGATAGAAAGTGTTCCTCATCCTTAACCCTAGACTATTGAATTGGTTATGAAGTATGCGAGCATGTTAAAATAAGGTTATTATATGATTAAAAGTAAATTCTCATGATTATGATAAAGTGTTGATTGAATGGTTTACTCACATGTATGTGGTTTTCTGAAGTGAAAGGGTAGTTCTCACTTAGGAATACCTATGAGCTATTATGATGAGATGTTCACATAGGGGTCTGGAAGAGACTAATATGATCTTGTATGATGAGTATGATGATTACTAAAGGGAATAAACGCTAGCACCGAAAGGGCATGTAAATGAGATGGAGGTCTCACATTTAGTAAGTCCGGCCTCTCACATGAGTTTCTTCACGTTTAGTAAGTACAGATTTCCAAGATATGTGTGTCTCATGAGATGGAAACCTCCATGTTTAGCAAGTCTAGGTTTATAGTAACAATCTCCGTGACCCTTACTATGTGCCCACATAGGACTATAGCTTAGTTGATCTACCTAGATAGATATGTAAGAATGGTTACACCTTAGGCAAGTGTTAACCCTCTCTTTTCGGTGTGGGAGGATAACATCGGATTCCATGTAGCTCACAAGGTCTCATGTTGGTTATTGCACTTCTTTCCCAAATGAAATAAGATAAATAAATAAGTCAAGTATGTGAACTTTTTAGGACTTGTCTTGAAGGTTGCTACATAGGGTGAGGGAGGGTATGGGACTTCTCTTACTCATTGCACATGTGGGACCCTAAGAGAGGGTTCTATAAGTAAGTGTGTATAATTAAGTTAGTTACATGTTATGTCTGTTAAGTTTTATATGAACTTACAAATCAAGCATGTTTTGATAAAGTATGATACTATGTTGTATGCATGTTGTAAGTGACTTAATGTGATGCTTAGCTTTGGATAGGTCATGGGGTTCTATTCTTGGCATTGCACAAGTATTGCATTAGGTTGCTTATGTGTTGGGTTAATATCATGTTGGTTTTAAAATTCTATATATGTGCATGTTGAATTATTGAACATAATGCATGGTTTTGACTAAATTGTGTCTTTTCTCATGCATTAATGATTTTACGCATAGGAGTCATACTTGGTACATATGTTTTGTACTAACCTACATTTCTTCCCTTTTCCCCCCAATATTTTAGGTTTCGGCCATTGAATAGCTGCTAGGCCACTTTGCAAGGATACTTGGACTTCTTCCACCAAGTAGTTGGTGAGTCCTCCAAGTTCGAGGATGGCGCCTTTTGATCTACCCCGGTAGTATTGCTATAGTCTAAAGACATTCATTTCCCTCCTATTGTTGAAGATATTGTTGTAATACCTATATGGCAATTATGGATCTGTATAAGGGCTAAGCCCAAATGTTCTACTTTGTTTTAGATGGTTTAATGTGAGGCAGTATAATTAGACTAAATCTTTATATGTTGGCTACATTATCTAAAGGAGAAGCCTATGTAAGTGTCCTATGCGAAGAGTCTATGTAAACTCCATATGTATGCATAAAGTAAGCGAGAGGTATATGTATACCTCAATATGTATAAAGTTTTAAATTTTTCTACATTTTCGACCTATGATGTGTAATCATGATTGCTAAGGGCTAGTCTAAGTCCTCTTCGAGGATGAAGACGCCGTTACGACTAGGGGATGCTCCCCGGTCGTGATATGTACTCCTTACTCAAACTGATCTTTATGTCTTAAAAGAAGTTTAAAAGCGTAAAAGACTTCTTGGAAAGACTCTAAGAACTTTCTAGACTAGTCTCTATACTTTCCTTGAATTTGAAGTTATGGATTCAAGGTTGTAATTCATGTTTCTGGATGATTTCTATATTATTAGAAGTCATTCAGAGTAGTTAGAATCATAGGAAGTGTCAAACAACTTAGAAAGGCTTATTCGGACTAAATTATGAAATCTGGGTGAAAAATGTTCATTCATGTGCGTTCTGGCCGCGCCGTGCCAAACCCATTAGGATCTAGAATTAGTATTACAACGTAGTGTTCTTAGTTTTATAATTTACTCTATTATTTAGGAGATTACTGTGGAACGAACGAGATTCGCTAGCAATTATTGCTTTAATCAAAGGTATCATTTGCTTTTTTTTATATTTATGTTATCTAATAGTTCAAATTATTATAATTATTATTTTATACTAGTTATAAGTAGCTACATATATAAATAAGGTTATGAAACTTAGTTTCTATTTAGGGTTACAGATTTTTAGAAGAGCTATTAGGATCTAAAATTAGAATTACAATGCATTTTTCTTAGTTTTTTTTTTATTTACTTTATTATTTAGAAGATTATTGTGGAACGAACGAAATTTGTTGGCAAGTGTTTCTTTAATAGTTCAAATTGTTACAGTAATTATTTTACGGTAGTTATAAGTAGATAAATACATAACTAAGGTTTATGAAACTTAGATTAGTGATGATGATAATGAGTACTTTACAATAAAATATATATTCATAAAAGGAGTGATCATTGTATATTAAGTTCCTCCAGTACTTAATTTTTTTTAATGCATGAAAATCATTATAAAAGTTTGTTTGTATTCTAGCATGCTTCACCATAGAAGTATAGAATAGGAAAAATGTTTATTAATGAGTATTTGGTGCCAATAACAACAATATAATATCTTGTGTGCTTGAGAGAGGATAGTGTACTTGAGTATTTGATAAATGGAAAAAGTGATTCCACACTGAAGTGTTTGAGAAGAACATGTGATGATATCCTCTTAATTGGGTTGAGAGACTTTAGGATATCTATAATTTTGTCAGTTTTGTACAAAAACACACCTGAATGAATGGATAGTAGAGTATTTGGTGGAGTTCTGATATCTAAGAATTATAATTATAGCTTGTCTTCTTTATTATAAAATTCAAGTTGTCAAAATAGTTTCTAGATCATAATCAAAATTCTCAATTTCTCAAGAGAAGTTACTTCTTTCAATCTCAACATCAAATTATACGCAAACTCTAGTACGCTCTTTGTAGATTCGACATCAATCTAGTTGGGCTACTGCATTTTGCATTGACTGTTTTCACCTCTATAGTTTGGGCGACATCAGTTGCTCAAAATAAAATTGTTCATGGTGAATATATGGATCGTGCGAATCCCGTATGGGTTTTGATTTTCCATATGCCATCGGTGGAGGTAAGTATACACCGATAGGATCATATGGTCATGCGTTTTATCGAATTGTGTAGTGTCACTTTTACATCTCATATTCTCTTACTTCAACTACATATAGATGGACTACTTAATGATTTTTATTAGTTTCTCTCTCCCCATTCCTCATTTAACTTTTTAGAGGTGAATGACCTAATTGTGTTATGTTTAGTATTTTTATATGATATGACTGTTGAATTTCTAGTTTTATCGACTTATGATGCCTTCTGAGTACATGTGATTTCCATACTCAAACAACATTTGCTACATCTTTGACGCCAATTGGTATCTTAGTACCATTAGATCTTATTGATTTGCATCTTAGTCACAATTATTTTGAGAGTTTGTCGTGAGATACATGAAACTGTGTGGTGCCATAATCCCTCTATCATTTACGTTATTGTACTTTATCATTTTAGATTATATACTTGTAAATCCTAACTTTTTTAAATGTCTAATTTAACTTATACCTTTATGGGAAGATGAAGAGTAATTAATAAATTAAGAATGATGTGGTATATCATATTTTAAGTGTTCAATGGTCGTATCGAAAGTTTTGAAGTTAAGTAAATTACAAAATAAAAGTTGGCAAAAGTTATCATAAGTTTTGTTTTAAAGATTTCTGTGAAATTTAGGTCAAATTCACAGAGATTTTCTCCCCATCTATAAAATTTTAGGGTATTCATACCCAATCAAATCGAGGTTAGAGAGTCTAGTTTCTAAATCATCAAAGTGTTTGTCTATATGACTTCAAAATAGAGAGGCATTTGAATTTTGTGGGATGACATAAGTAGGTACGTGACAAGTGTTTTTAAGATACTAAGCTTGCATTGACTATAATTATGACTTATGTTCTCTAACTTTTTATCTTATGATTTACTCTGGTCATTGCATGTCATATAAAGTCTTTTTATCATGTTTTCATAACTCTTATGCATTGCTATCATACTTGTGCCTACATTGTTTCATAATGTAGGGTCTGACTCTCCTAGCTCTCAGACTCGTAGCTAGTTGGTCTAGAACTCAAGAGTTGGTGAATCTTCATGCTCTAAGGATCGTGACACACTTATTGCTTTCTTTATTCAGTTTACAAACTTTGTATGTGATGTATGAGTTACATATCAATCATTTCTATTAATGTAGTAGATGGCTTATAGAGACTTATGATTAGACTTCCACTTGTCAAACTCATTTATAATATAAGACATTAGTTTCTTTGAAATCTTTATTTATATGATCTCGTATGATGTATGTTAAGTGGCTTATGTAGGGCCTCTTGGGGTCCTATACAACATGTTACGCCTAGGGTACACATTGGGCTGTGACAAACATGGTATTTAAAGCACAAAATTTAGAAAGGTGCTAAGATGTAATATAAGCAACATCGAGTAGAGTCATTTTCATGAGTGTGAAATACTCCATATTTATGAATAACAAGCTAGATGTTTAGGATGGTCCACCTATTTCATTACTCTATATTTGTGTTATAGAGTCCATCTTTAGAAAGATTCTTCTTCTTAATCGTGTTCAAACCATTTCAGGATACGACTCCTAGAAAAGCTTATGTAAAAAGGAATACGAATGAGAATGTGGAACAAAAACTTCATTCTCAAGTTCCGATTCGATCCTCTGGCCAAGAAAGTGACTAATGATGAGTCTTAAGCCACTATCATGCATTGACTCAAGCTATAATGGCTCAATTAAATAGGTAGTTTGTGGCTCCCATGAACCCAATAGTGGGTATGACCGCAACACGGGTGTAACGACCCGAGAGCACCCCCGAGTCGTTACGTGGCATACTCAATCCTCTGGCCAAGAAAGTGACTAATGATGAGTTTTAAGCCGCTATCATGCAATGTCTCAAGCTATGACGGCTCAAGTAAATAGGGAGGTGAACCCAAGAGTGGATATGACGGCAACAAGGGTGTAACAACCCGAGAGCACCCCCGAGTTGTTACGCAGCGTAATTGAACTCTCGGATGTCTTGTACAAGCCTCTTAGCATTCATTCATTGCATATATATGAAAAGTAGTGCAGAATTAAAACTTTTAACTATAATAGTTGAACTCTTTTATAGAATCATAAGAAAGAAACTAAATCACATAAATCATCCTAGACACAAGTCAATATTATAGGGTCACGGCCCTTTCATCAATTTGAAGAAAAAAAACTCAATCTATTACAAAGTCTTTTATAAAAGAAAACTAAAACATAAGTCATGTCCTCAAACATATGAGGACATACCAATCTTGAGAGAATGTTATTCTCAAGCTTCAAATTCTAAGATAATCATTGCATGCCACCTACACTTGTAGACATAGAAAACAAATGGAATTAGCACATTGAGTGCACTAAGTATAGCAAAAATGCAAGAAAATCATGCAAAAATGACATTTTCTTTAAGATATGCTTTCATGCTATTTATACAGAAACATTCAACATAAGAGTTTAAAAGACATAATAGAAGTCACAACCACATATAAGACATATTCCATATTAAATAAGTAACTTTTTCATCACTTTAGACCCTCTACCTAAAGTTACTCTAGGACTCACTTGATAAGACATGAAGAGACCGCCCATATGCCGTCTTAAAGCACACCTAAGTTATTCTCAAAGCTACCCTAGATAAGAACCTTTCAATTAAACATATTTTACTAAGTTAATATTATTCATTAAAGCCATTTAAGAGACAAGTAAGCAATTAGGTTACTTTCACATAATGGTCTTGGAAGACCTACGGAACTCTACCTAGCACTTTCAAAGCCAACTCGTTTCATGTGTAGATAGCGTCCCATTCCACTACTACACATTGTAGAACTTCTCCAATACTTGGATGCACATCCTATATGATGAGAATAGGCACTAATCGAAGTAGACCACACTAGCTAGTTATAGAATTCAATGTCATAAAGACCCATTACCGTGGAAGGTGTTCTACTTGCCAAAGGTAGAACTAGTAATCATCCCATGTTAGCATATGGTTAAAGGAAATCAAGGGCTTCTTTGTACTCTAGTCTCATCCTCAAGCAGAGCTACTACCACAAGCATATCCACTCGGTCCTTTGCCTTTGTTCTCATAGAGTAAGTTCATTCATGTACTAGTATTTGAGATGGTACCATCTCTAAGTCCTACCAACTCATAAGACTTCTACCCAATAAAGGGTCCACTAGGGGTGCCAATCAAGGTTCATTAGGATATCTCATTCTCAACCTTCTTTTCATATTCAAGGTTCCATGTTAGTCTTTCATAGAAGTGTAGCTACTTTAGGTCTACCGATCCTAGACTATCACTCCTTTCATTCATTTAAGACAAGGGTGCCTAAGCCTACCAAGTCAGGATACAATATCCATCATATCATTTATTCAGTATCATTCAAGTCTCAAGTAGGGATAACTAATCTACTAATACAAGATAGTACATCATTCTCATAGGACTCTTCTTAGTCCTTCATTATCATATATCAAAAACTACAGAAGAGGTACGTTCAATCATATCATTTTAGCACTCATACAAGATCATATAGACATCACATGAGCAACGTCACTTTATACCTTCACATATACCATATCATGATCATACCATAATTCACATAATAATGCCGACAAGGCCATGTTCATATCAACTATAACAATTAAACACCGCCACTATAAGTGGACCATACCAATCAATGAAAATTCAGTATCAATTCTATGTTAAACAAAGGAATTAGGTCAACTCACCACCTTCCAATAGCCACTGTCACCATTCCTTAGCTTTTTCAACAAATTTGCATCTTACCAATGATAATATACATAAGACTAAGCAAACAATTCATCCATATTGATGATCCAACAAATCTCAATTTAGATATAAATACTACAAGGAAATCTAAGAAAAAATTCATAATGATCAACACATAATTCAATAGCTCATAACAATCTACACATGAATTAAACATAATTGGATCATAATCAATGTACCCACTTTAGAGACAAAATTAGAAATTCAAGGAATACATGAAAGAAGAATCAAGGATGTAATCACCATACCTTATTAGTAGTAATCCCATGAAATTTAGGTTGAAAACTTGAAGAATTTGGCCTTTTACCTTGGAGCTTGAAGGTTCATTAATTGAGGATTTAACTAGAGATAGAATTTAGAAAGAAGGGAGAGCATGTAAAACTTGTAGATTCTAATTGAGGGTTGGGTTTTTTATTCGGGTAATGGGTGTATAATGACCTAAAATCCATGTATAATAACTCCCAAAATACTCAAAACACCCCTACATTAATTGGACCTTTTTAAACAAGTCAACTTAACTTAAGTTTTCAGAACTATCATCGGGGAATAAGCCCGCGTCGCGGAGTTGTTCCCACAAAATTTTTGGAAATAAATTTTGAGAGAGTAGATTCTGCGACGTGTCTGTGACGCAGACTAGTTCTTCTATGGGTATTAGTTTGTTGCCCTGGGCAGCTTATTGGTCCAAGGTTGGATTGTCCTCAAGGACCCTTATGGAGGTCCTTGGGGAGTCATAACCGATGTTTTGACCCTAAACACGTCCCTCTAGAAGTTAAGATCATCTTCACTGATTTAGACTCCAAACAACACATAAAAGCTCATACATCATACAAGGACACACTAGCACACACACAAGACTAGTTTCTGAACGTCTTGATTGTCCCTTGACGTTCAACTTCAAAACTCTTTAGAATTAACTTCTAAAGATATTATTCACTATTTTAACAAGTTATTAACTCATTAAACCCATGAGAGGCTCTAGATTAACCTAGTTCATTTTGAGAGTTGTTACCAAGGGTGGGGGATTTACTATGATGAATCCTCCGGAATTTCATGGGTCTAAAGTTGAGGAAGATCCTCAAGAGTTCATTGATGATGTTTACAAGATATAATGGGAATTATATGTCGCGCCCAGAGGTTACCCCCTTGACGTAAACACTGGACCTAACCTTGAGATAGCATATCACAAGCATATTAAGACAATTGAACAAAAGATACTAAGCTTAAAAACATGAGATGACTAAAAGAGGGGAATACGCAATGCTGATCTGAATATATAAAAGAAATTGAACATTCCCTCAAAGCTAAAACTGAATCTAATATTATGTCTGAAAAAGTCTTTAACTGACTAAAGTTGTTGGGACATGTCCCCAGCTAACCCTAGCAAAACTGGAACTATATGAAAGATTTAATTTGAAAACATTTATATTGTCCTCAAAGTATGAGGACTCACGCACTGATGTTGTTGAGTATGGATCGGAAACCGATCTACGCATGATTTCAGTACTGAGGGCCTAAACCTACAGCATAAAATATATGTCAATACTTGGAAGGCAATGAGCATGCAGGGTAGGATAAAGCTGAACAAAACATACAACTGAACAAAGCATATTGAGCAATGATATAATCAGAACATTATGGAAATATTGAAATACATCCAAATGAACTAAAATGAATGCAATGACCAAATACATAACATGCTGAAACTGAATACTGAAATATAATTGAAAACCTGGTCATATGCACTATAGTCTGACTGCGGGAGCTACTATTAACCGACATAAAACCGCGTGAGATCTCCGATTTATACGCCCAATCGAGAGGACCAAATATACCTTTTCAGAGGTATAAAGGCATGACTAGTATCACTAAATCTGATGGCCAAAAAAGGATATAATCCGAGCTTAAATTTGATCAAAAATAGTTCATGCAACATTATGAATCATAAGACAACATTAAAGACAGAGAGGTCTTCGATATGAGAAGTTACCTCTATTACGAGCCTCAAACGCAGCCCAATGTTCGACAAGAAGTGGGTCTCACATCCGAGGCTCTATTTTTGCCCAAAGCCACAAGGTAGCTTGAAATGAGCCCGAAAGACTTGGGATGCGTACCAAAGATCCTTCTTGACCAAACTTGATGTTGTGGAGCTAATAGAACTGTATTTTGAGGTTGTCTACCTGATTTTTTTACTGAAGTCAAGTTTCAAAAGCTCCAAAACACTCATACTCGCTTAAAAAAATGAACGACCAGGTGATCGAACTGTCGATCTCAGCATATTATAAATGACTTGAGATTGCTATAGGAAAGCTCTTAACGCTGAAAATAACGCACTGCAGGAAAATGACCTAAAGAGTCATTACAAATTATAAGTGGGGATAATTAAACGACATCCCCTAAAGGCATATCCAAAAATCGAGAAGAAGAATTAAAAATCTAATAGAAGATCTGAAGGTGATGTTGAGAAAACAAGAAACAAATATAAAGAAAAGGAAAGGGGGTCATGTAAGATTGTTTTCCCACTTTATGAAGGCACAAGTGGTGCAGTGGAATTGAACTAACTCTTTTGATACATGAATAATGATTAAGAATATGGTCCCCTATATACCTCTGAGACTATGACTTTAATGGTAAAGATGGTTTTGCATGAAATGAATGAATGAAGGTGGTTGTTGTTGGGTTTTGCTATGAGATGTGAACTTCAAAGACAGTTTTTTGGGGGCTCCACTTTTATTAACATGTTGCAATCTATAAAAGAGAAGAAACCAGTATACATCCATTTAAACACAAAACTAAACATTTGTTCAATTATGGCAACCTGTCTCATCTTTATATAACTCCAATAAGATAGAGGCTATTCTTTTTGTTTTTTCTTTTTCTTTTCTTCATGAGAGTGACTACTCTTGACATGGCAATTGGCAAAACAAAATAAAAGAGGACCTATTCTTATGATTTAACCACATATAATTTCCAATTTTTCTTTTTACCACATTTGAAATATATCTGCATGCTTCTTTTCATCTTCTGCTCTTTAATTACCCTGCAAAAAATATTATGTTTCCCTATGGATAGAAACAATAATTTTAATTGAAAACACAAGACTTAGAGAAATGTATGCACACTTTTATAGTTTGCACCCTCTTTTGAGTTTCTTATAATAATATGCATCGTGGTAGCTATATTTTTTTATAAAATCACAATAAAAAGGTTGATTTTGTTCATTAGTAAGAAGATAAGGTAGGAAAAACACAATTTATTTATTTTCAAAAAGTAGTTATAATTAGGGGTGAACAAAATCGAACTGAAAATTGTACTTAATTGTAGATCAAGTCAAAAAATTTTATTATTGGTTTAGCTTGATGTGGTGTAGTATTGAAGAAAAAAATTGGACTATGTTGGGTTGGTTTGGTTTAAACTTTAAAAAGTCAATCCGAGACCAAATCAATCTATCATCGTATATATAATTTTTAAAATTCACTTTATACATAATAATATTTACTTTGATATAATTCATAAATATTTCTTATACATTTTAATAGTTTTTATCTTTTTAACATATTATTTCAAGATTGAGTTTGAATTTTTAATAGTCCAATTAATATTATATTCCACAGATATTAGTAACTCTAATAAAGAAAAAATCAAAATCAACAAAAGAAAATCAATTCAATGCTAAGAATAATGATAATGTATAATATTTCTTCTTTAGTTATATATTTGTTTAGATAATTAAAATACATAACCTAATTTTGATTGTCTTTAATGTTTAATCATATAATAAATACTTAATACTTAAATTTATGATAATTCTCATTTTAACTTATTTTATTTGCAATATTTATTTTATGAGATTACATTATTATTTTTTGTTGAATATTTCAGTGTCATTACTCATATCATATTTTGTGTTATTTCTTCAGAAATATCTTAAATAATTGTCTATATGTATACTTTACTAGCAAAACCTGGAAAAAAAAATCAAAAATCCGAAATCAGAAACCTCAGATTTTATTAATTTAATTTTGATTTATAAATTTAAAAATAAAACACAAATAATTTGATTCGTATTTTTTAAAAATCCAAACTTATGTACCCTTAAGTTTAATATGTAAGTAGGAAAAAACTTTATAAATTTAAATATATGAAGGAATAAAGTAGGAAACGGATATTATGATTTGTTTAATGCAAAAGTTTTTGTTTATTTTCATCTTCCCTCCTACTACCTCACCAAGTCCACAGTCCAATTTTACTGCAAAATACAAAAATATCTAGGAAATTCTATTTTTATTTTCCTACTTTACCCTCTTAAATAGTTGGTACAATAAGTATTTTTAAAAAAAGAATTTGTTAAAAAAACAAGAAATACACTAACAATTAATTGCTTCCTCCTCATTTCTATAATAAATTTAATTAATACTCCATAACTATAATTTGCATTGCGATTTGTAGTTACAGTTTAAGTTATCTCGTTTGTATAATCCATTGATTTGTATTGCATGTGAGTTTATATAATTCGTAAGTACGTTTGTATAATTGAATTATTTTTGTATAAACTCGAAACAACAAAATTATACAAATACAATCATTTGAACTTTAAACAGTTATATAAATTATACTATACAAAATTACATTATACAAAATTTATACAAATTATATCATACAAACGTGTGATTATACAAATATGAAACCACAACCCACGTATAAATCACTGAATGGTAATTGCGAGTGATAATTAACTAAAATTATAGCTCTGATGACTAATTAACTTATATATGTTTTCTTAACCATGTGATTTTTTCCCTTTCTATTACTTGTCAATTTTATTAAAAGTAGATGACTATTTTTATTTATTTAATTTAAAAATTTAAGAAATAATTTATTACTTAGCTCCTAATTTATCATTATTATTAGTTATAATTACTTTCAAAATATTAAATTTATTACATTCATAAAATAATATAATAAATTTATTATTTTATTACTAATTTTTTAAAAGGTGCATCAAATTAAACATGAATAAATAAAAATAAACGGATATACGTACTAGAGTAATTTTCTTCTCATTGAATAGGTAAAATTCAAAAAATGTCTTTTTCCACTATATCTTAGGCACATATAGTATTTTTCCAATATATTTGGATCTTTTTGCTGATCCTTGACATTATCTTTTTCCTGCAATGAATATGCTATTTAAAGGTGGATTTAGAGGGGTTTGAGATATTTATTTGAACCTCCTAAGTTAAAATTATAGTATGTATAGCACATAATTTTTAATTTATTGTATATTGAGAGTTTAAAATTTTCTGAATAGAAGAATAGAGATTTGACTTGAAGTTTAATAGTACAGATTTCAATTTAAACCTCAAATATTATATTTTTATTTTTGGAACCCATTTTATAAAAAAGCTAAATCAACCAATATATCAAATTAGTTCAAATAAACAGTACAGGGGGTCCATTAGATCTAATACAAAATGTTAGCAATATTAGCTTAATCCAATTCTCTAAATTAGATGGGTCTTGGATAGTAGTGCTGATTACGTGCTTTTTGTCATGGTCCAAAATTAAGGTCACGATAACATCTATTACATTTTATTGGTTGGTAAATTAATTTAGTCTCAAATAGCCTAAGGAGTTGAGGAGATAGAAGGAAGTATAAATTATAATGATACATAATTTAAAACAAAAGCAATGGAAATAAGAGAGAATACATACATACAACCCTCGAATAAGGTCAAAATAAAGATCCAATCCAAAATCTGGTGGATGCCAGTATAAGCTACTAGAAAAGTAGAATATAGACTAGACATATATACAAGTTGTCTTGAAATATAAAAGATTAGCCAAAAATTATATACTAATGGAGATGATCAAACTCTAATTGCTAATAAATTTATCTTCGCTTTCCTTTCCGAAATATCAGCAATAGTAGCACGAGATTCACCGCGGGGCACTAGAGCTTGAATCTGCATCTAGAAAAAGTTAAAGGATGCAACATGAAAATCAAACAATGAGTATGTCAATAGGCATCATAGGTTGATCGAACTTGTGATTTTAATAAGAATAAACGAAGTGAGCAGAACAAGGTAGTAAAACAATGATAAAAATATATATAACCTAGACATGTGTTGGTGTAAAGCAGTAAAAAATTATCTAAACCTAGTTGGACATTAATAAGCTCAGAAGGCACATATAAAGACATAACAATAATAAAACATGTGAACATTAACCCAGACAAACCCCATAAGTCCGAGGGGTAAAATAAAAGTTATATTACAAGGCACGACTCCAAAAGTTTAGGCATTCGTATAAAAGAAAAAAAACCAAAGATGCACTTAACCTATAAAAAATGACTTTTATATATATATATATATATATATATATCATTTTTCCATCTTTTAAATCATTTCTAATAAATTAAAAATATATTTGACCCTTTTTTCTTTATACACAGCCTAAACTTTTAAAAAACGAAATCATAACCAAGTCACGATATAGCACGACTGCTGTGGGTCTTGTGCCTACGCAAAGTCAATTTATTTAGCAATGCCTTTTTCCCATACAATAAAAGTACAATATTAAAACAAATTACTACAGTTAATATTCAAAAGATGAAAAGGTATTAAAACATGAGGTAAATAATGATACATTTCGTATTGAACATCAGGATGACATAATTAAATAAATTGTCACTTATAAAAAAAAATTCTATTTTCACTTTTTTTTAAAAATAATTTTTGCTAAAAAATATATATTTCTATGAATAAAAAGATAATCATAAATTTAACAACCCATAGTAACCTTTTATTTTAGATTGATATACAGGACCACCGACTATCCAAAAAAAAAAACAGAAAAATAAAGAATCACCAACTTCAAGTTCTTGGTCCATTAGAGATTGACCCACAAGGCATAGTTAAGTTGTCGTCTTTTTTCTATAAAATTATTCATTCGATATTTGATATTATATTAAAATTTAAATAATTTAAATTTATATGTTATAGAATTCATTTATGTGAATAATGCTATAAAATATAAGATTTAGAGCTCAAGCCCAAAATTTAAACCACAATATTGATTTAAATTGGATGTAGAAGATGAAATTGGCTAATTTTGAAGTCCAACTGATTGGGAAAAAATAATTTGTGGTCCAAAATTTGTCTCATTTGTTCAGTATGGTCATAAAGTAGAATGGTTTGAAATTAATGGAGATGTATAGCTAAAGCCAAATGTTTCAATGAAATTGACCGATACCAAATTAAAAGGACTGAATGTGGACTTTACCTCTAAACTTGGTAATTATATTGCACATGCTACTAAAAATCAAAGAAGAAGAAGATTATTAAGAATCATTAAGTAAAATACATGTTCATGTAAATAATTTTTATTTCTTTAATGAGTGATGGTCCTATATCTATTTGAATTTTTAGTAATATTCCATAGTAACATATAGATATATACATTTCCGTGAGATTCACGTGTCATAAAAATTTCCAACTCGATTTCAACTAAATATAGTAACATATAGATATATACCTTTCTGTGAGATTCACCAATCATAAAAAATTTTAACTCGATTTCAACTAAATATGAATTTCAAATGAGTTTAAATAACCTTTAATCTTTTTCAAATTATATATAATCTTTCTCAACTCAAATACTTCTTTTATCTTTGCGCTTAAATACAAAGTCATTTTACAGTTTCAAATAATGCATTAATAAATAGTCTTTTATTTTTGCTACATTGAAACACTTTTGGCTCTTCCTCAATTTTGTCTTTTTTTAAGGTTGAGATTTCGATAACAATACATTTTTCCTTTCCAAAAGTAAATCCTTGCAATTTCATTTTTTACAATAAATATTGATATAGAATTAAAACTAGCTAAGAAACAATTCATAAATTTCATTTCTGTTTTCATAAAGGAAAAAAAAATAGAAATTTAGTGGTAAAGAACTTGGATTATCATGAAAACTTTAAATTTCTATTTTCATGTTCCTTTCTTCCAATCCCCAAGAGAATAACCTTCCACTAAAAAGAGTTCTTAGTTTAATGGGACCAAAAATGAAATAGAAAAATGGTTAATCAACTTCTATTTGTTATTAGTGGCAACAAACATCTACATTAATAAAGATTATTGACTTTATACTGAAATTAGTTAGTTTCATTGGATTTGATAATGGTATAAGTTTTAGGAATATTCATAAAGAATGCTAAATATCATTAAAAAATTATATAGTAGCAATTAAGTTAGTATCGTTAATTAATTGTCACTAAAGATTATTTTTTTTCATAATGTCCGAAGTGTTTGGCTTAAGTTGGTCTTGTTATATCATATTTATAGATTTTTTCATGCATTTGGAACTTATTCCTCATTTTGAAGACAATTTTTTAAGGTATACCATGTATAGTCCAAAATTCAAAATAGATTTTTGGTTTAAGCAACTGACATTTGGTCTGAATGAAACAAACAACACATGGTTTGTGTTTCAAAGAGAAAGATAAGTAAGCATTTCATATACTAAATTTTGGAGGAAGTCTACTTTTAAAATAAATAGATAAAAGTTGGGATAAAATAAAAAATGCACCAATATTATAAATATGAAGTACTATTAACACAATATATGAAAGAATAAGAAAAATTGAGTCTAAGCTCATAAATAAAAAGAACTACTTTGAGCCATTTCTCAATGAAATTACATGGTCTTAATATTTATAGCAAATCTCTATAGCTATGGTTTTGATAATTGCTCTTTATAGTTGTAGTTTTATATGTCACGAAGGGTGCAGTTGCGTGCTTTTGCAATATTTCGCTTGTGAATATACAAATAAGGTATATATATACAAATTTTATATTTATACATTTAGAAAATTTTCATAACTTTATTTGTATATTTTGCTTGTCAATATACAAACAAATAATTTATTATGAACTTTTCTTTTGGTATACAAATAGCTAGGGTACCCATATACAAAATTCTGAATTTATACCATTAGAAACCAAATAAAGCTAATAGCAAAATTAGCTGAAAACCGAAAAGTGTAGCTGCAAATTAGAATTTGCCTAAACACTATTTATAACAATTTTTGCCAATAAATAATATATTTGAAAAGGAAAAAGATTAGAGCAAAATATGTATGTGAGGTATATTGAAGGGTCAGGTCCAATTATCCTTGGATCAGACCACTTCATTTATAACTGGTCCCTCCAACTAAAGAAAAATAGACATCACCACAGTACTCTTGTATCTTTCTTTCTTTCTTTCAAAATACTCTCTCTCTCTCATGGAGAAAACAGATACAGAAACTCGTGATTTCATGAACGTTGAATCCTTCTCTCAGCTACCTTTTATCCGTCCAGTTCCTAAAGAAAAGACCGGCATTAGGCTTTTCGGTAAAGAATTTGTAGCTGGTACTACTACAACGCATCATGAGGAATCGGAAACTATTGAAGCAGAAGAAACAAAAGAGAATTCAAATACAAATCGGAAATTTGAATGCCATTATTGTTGCAGGAATTTCCCAACTTCACAAGCTTTAGGAGGACATCAAAATGCGCATAAGAGAGAACGTCAACATGCTAAACGTCTTCATCTGCAATCTGCAATGATACAGGGTGAAGCAAATAATAGTTATGGTATGATGAATTATCGCCTTCCTAATTATCACCATCCATCAACATGGATTACAAACACAAGCAGATTTTACGCAACTCCTTCTCATCATCATCAAACTCCGCCTATAAATGGAAGTCCATTAGCGTTATGGAGAATTCCAGCAAGTTATAATTATGGTCGTCCACTCGTTTTTCCTGCTAATAATCATCAGGATTTCAAGTCTTCTCCAATTATCAATACCAATTCAGCCACTCAAGATCATGTGAGTTTAGATCTACATTTGTGACTAAATAGTCTTAGCTAATTAAAATTCTTTACCTGCACCATATTTAATTTTAAGCTTTTTCTTATTTCAGCAACTTTTTATTAGTCTACCAACGTTATGTAAATGACATAATTTTTGTAGTATATGCAATTCTCTCTTCTTTAAGTTCTCTACTCACTTTTGTCGGTTGAAGAATGTTTAGCCATGGGTTATAATATAGAGAGAGAGTTTATTTTACATCACTTAAGAAAAAGAATAATTGTCCAGACCAAATTAGATTGTTATCTAACTACTTCCGTTTCAATATAATAATTTTCATTTATCACAAGTAAAACCAAATATAAAATTATTTATTACTTTAAGTTAAAATTATATCATATATCTTTTAATTTTATAATTTTAAGCATGTCATATAAAAAATTGAAATTAAGAATTATATGGACAATTACGATGATACATGTGTTTTTTTCTTGTTTTGGGTGTGTACATGAGTCGCTGGGCTGTGATTGTGAGTGTACAAGTTATGTTGTATTTGCGCTCAGAATTGTGAAAAATAGCGACAATTAAATTACTAAGTAACAAGTTTTTGGTTTCATAAGTGTATGTGATATATAATTATCTCTCACTAATTGAAATCGAGGGAATATATAGTCAACTGGTCAATATACAATCTACTTGTTACTGTGTTTTTTGTTCGTGGTTGGAAAAATTACATAAATTGATATATTAATAGATAATTACTGATTTTTATAATATATTTATTTATTATCATTTATAACAATACTATGTTAAATCTGTCATATATATTAAAAGTGAATTATGTATGAATTATAATTGTTTTTAAAATATATTATGTTTGTTTGGTAAAAAAATTGACACATTGTATTATAAGTGAATTAAAATGTGTGATAAATGAATTATTTATCATTAAAATTTGTATTATATATGAATAAAAAATTATTCTTTGTAATATGAATTAAACTTGTATTATAAACGAATTAAAAGTGATCAAGTGAAAAAGAAAAATTATTGCTATAAATGGTAAATATTTTGTTATTATAGTATATTTATGTAAGTTTCCCTTCATGGTTATGGTTAAAAAATCAAATCAAATTGTAATTTGAACCAAATTATTTTTAAAAATTGATGTTTGGTTAGGTTTGGTTTTGAATTTTGAAAATAGATATTATTTGGTTTGGTTTTAATTTTACTGAATTTTTTTTTGCAAAATAACCAAACCAAACAGATAAATTAGATATATAAAATTTATAATTATTTATATACCATTCATAAATAAAATATAAATATTTTATTAAATTTAATTAACTTTAATCTTTAACTTTACAATCTTCTGAAGCCCAACACTTTAACCCAACTATAACAATCCCAAGACCAAGTCCAAGTGCATTAAAATTCATTTAGTCTTTACCTACCCTAATTCACATATAATAGTCACATTTTCTCTTAAATGAAACACTTGTTCGTGTAATCATAACTCTAGTGTTTCTTAATTGCTTAATTGAACCGACAATAGTTTTTCATTGGATTGTTCATGTTCTAGATGTTTTTGTATTTGTCAACATAAGTCATCAAAAAAAAATTACTATTACTTTCAAACCGAATAAAAAAAAACTAAATCGGACCGAGTTAAACCAAACCAACGGTTATTTTTTCGTTTCGTTTGGTTTGATTTTAAAATTTTTTTTAAAAATAACTAGATTGATTTGGTTTTGATTTTGATCAATAACCAATTCAAATCGAACAACGAGCACCATACCTTCAATTAGTTACTAGTAAAGGTGTCAAGTGAGCCGAATAAGGTCAATTTAATCCATTTAATAAAAGAAAAAATTACGTAAATGAGTCATAAAATTTAAAATAATTACATGTTCATATCCCAATCTAAAGTAATTCAAGAAATATACATTCTCCCAAAAAAAATTATAGTACTCACATTCATTAAGGTTGATATTTTGTACTTAATTGATATTAAATCAGTATCATATACTATATTGGTATCATTAAGGTTCCTTGTTCAAAAATTACTCATAACTCATTGATATTGTAAGAGTATATGTATATTGTTGTGGTGTCATTAAGGTTTTTTGTTCAGAAATTACTAATTAATCGACGTACTATAAAAGTATATGTATATTGTTGTGGTATCATTTAGGTTTCTTGTTTATGAATTACTCATTAGTCAATACTATAAAAGTATGTATATATTTTTATGGTATCATTAAGGTTTCTTGTTAGAAGTTACTCATTTATCATTGATACTATAAGAGTATATAATGTAAAATTATATATATTGATTTAGTATCAACTTAGCAAAATTATCAGTCTTAGTAATACCAATACAGTATGTGATATTGATTTAGTATCAGTTAATCGAAATTAGTTTGTAGGTATATAATGTAATTATTAAATGGGATATGAATGTAAAAGGATATATATTTGTAACTATTTTGATTTTATGGGGGTATTTGTTTGGTTTTCCCTTTAAAAATTAACATACTGTAAATGATAAATTACATGTTATCCCTATAATATAAATATTTACCAAAAATCCCTTATTTTTAAGAATTTCGAATACTTTATAAAACAAAAATGATATGTAAATAAAAATGGTTGGATACTTAATATTTTTTTTTGGTAAATGTTACTGCGAAAATAAAGGGTACCAGATTTCCCTTGATTTATGTTAATTTTGTAACAATATTACCGTGAAAATTGCATAACAACGTACTAACTTAATTCATTATTCAATTTAAAAATATTATAAAAGTCATATTCTAAATCAGAAAAAAAAACTATTTTGCGCAAAAAAATCTCTGGAACGCCAATTCTGAATTTTCAAAGATGAATATTTCGATCTTGTTGCGACATTCTGGAATATGGGAAAGTGATGTTATGTATGAGCGATACAAAAGTGATGGGATAGTGGTTGGTGAAAATTGAATCTTATTTCAACAATTGTGTAACGACCTGTTTAGTCGTTTTGAGCAGCAGATTTTATTCTGGAAAAACTGTCTTGGTCGACGGATCCCACGACGGACCGTCATGGGCACGACGGACCGTCGAGGGGGTCTCGTTCCAAAACACTTAGAATTCTGAAATTTGGGTACTGAAATTGACTCTCTGAACTTCGCGACAAAGTGGCAGGACGGACCGTCACAGACCCTTGGTAAAAATCTAGTCTCTGAAATCTATGACGGAAGCAGCAGGACGGACCGTCGCAGGCACGACGGGCCATCACAGGATGCGTAATCCCAGGCTGGGTCGGATTTCTGTTAATTATTTTAAGGGGCGTTTTGGACTATTCTTGCTTATAATTATAAAGTTAGTGGTTGAATATTAATAATCTAATTTCTTGATGGTTAAAAGAGATAACCTTGAATCAATTAATGGGTTAATTCATCATCTTTTATACTTAATTATATGCTAATTAGGGTAAAAGAAAAAGGGTTGAATAAGAAAAATAGAAAGAACAAAGAGAGGGAGAAGAACGATCGAGAGAGAGGAGAAACGAAGAGGAAAACAAAGCTTTGGGGAATTTGCTTGCTTGATCACTAATCTTCGGTGGAGGTAGGTTATGGTTTTTATACTATTCATAGTAAACTCTTAATAGCGAATGATATGTATCGGGTAGTGTTGTAAACCCTTCTATATGCTTAATTATGTGTTTGCATGTTGTGATTATATAATTGTGATAAAATAAGTATGATGAAGCTATTGAATCCTAAATCTTGAAAAAGAAACCCTAATCTACTTTGTTAATGATGATGCCTTAGTATAAAAGAAGGCTTGATGAACGAAAGTAGTGAGATTAGGGGATCGGGTGCCACGTTCCGGTACCAGGATAGAGTATGAGGATTGGAATGTCACGTTCCGACACCAGGATAGAATATGGATCGGGTGCCACGTTCTGATACCAGGATAGTATATGAGGATCGGGTGCCACGTTCCGGTACCAGGATAGTATATGAGGATCGGAGTGTCACGTTCCGACACCAGGATAGAATATGGATCGGGTGCCACGTTCCGGTACCAGTATAGTATATGAGGACCGGGTGCCACATTCCGATACCAGGATAGTATATGTGGATCGGAGTATCACGTTCTGACACCAGGATAGAATATGAGGATCGGAGTGTCACGTTCCGACACCAGGATAGAATATGGATCGGGTGCCACGTTCCGGTACCAAGATAATATATATGGATCGGGTGCCACGTTCCGACATCAGGATTAGTAAAGAGAATGAATCTTGAAATATGTTAATATACTCAATTTAATGAACCTAATTGCCAAATGAGTATGATGGGGAGGCGTGAGTCCTCATTGATGAGCTTGGTGTTGTGACCAAGGGTTATGGTAATTGTAAACGCCGCATGTTGAGTATTGTAGTTGATTTTATGATATTATCTGATATATACTGTTTTCTATTTTGAGTTGGCCGATGATATCTACTCAGTACCTGTGTTTTGTACTGACCCCTACTTGTATGTTTTCTTTTTGATTATTTGTGGAGTGCAGCAAACGTGCCGTCGTCTTCAACTCAACCGCAACTCTAGCCAGTCTTCATTACACCGGATTTCAGGGTGAGCTAACGATTCTAGCTTGGACTGGATCTTCTTCTTCATGTCTTGATGCCTTGAAGTTCCGGCATGGACTAGCTTTTTATGTATTTTAGCTTCTTAGATACTCTTAGATTAGTAATTTGAGGATAGATGTTTTTGTGATGATGACTTCCAGATTTTGGGGATAATAAATGTTGTTGAGTTTTTAGAAGTTATTTAATTGACTTTGTTAATGAGTTTCTAAGTCTTCTGCAATGTATTTAGTTCATTATGTTTGAAATGGTGGGGTTTAGGTTGGTTGGTTCGCTCACATAATAGGATAAGTGTGGGTGCCAGTCGCGGCCCGATTTGGGTCGTGACAAATTGCGGCTGAGTTGGGTATTGACGAATCAAAAAAAATGTAGAGATTAGATATTTTGTTGAAGAAAATCCATCTCCATTGTGTATTCGGAATGATATGGGTGTAAAATTGTATGTAGGAATTAAGAAGCATGAGGCTGTGTTCGAAACTTATCCTTTATGCATTGATACTTCAGATAAAGGTGTTGAAGAGATAATAAATTTCGATGCAACAATAGGTGTCATCATGT